TTTTTTTAATTTTTTATTTGTGTGTGGCCAGCTCAGCCCACCAGGGGGCGGGGCTGGCCGGCATGTGGTGCTGGGGGATTGAACGGTGGTCCCTGTGCTTTGCCAAGCTTGCTCCAAGTAGGTGCTCCAGACCACTGAGCCATCTCACCAGCCCCTGTATTTTGCTTTTTGGAATCTGAACAGTTACTTTGTTAAAACAATTTGTTAGTTGGACCAGTTAGCCTAACAAAACATACAACCTAGGGATATAATCCTTTTATTTTTCCTATGTTTTAAGGACAGTCTCACTTTATCATACAGGCTGGCCTTGAACTCACTATGTAGCACAAGCTGGCCTTCAAAGCATAGCAACCCTCCTGTCTCAGCCTTCCAAGTGCCTGATTTAAGGAATATAATAATTTTTATTGATACATGTTTTAGTATATAATGATTACATTCTTTGTGGAGGATTGGCACTTGTATATAACAGTCTTAGTTCTTCTTTGCTTTCCTTCCCATCTTCATCACCCAGTCCCTTTTCCTTTTGTAAAAGATCTATCTCCCTATTTCAATTTTTTTGTTTTGCTCTTATATTTTAGGTTTCTCATATAAGAGAAACTGCGTCATTTTGTGTGTGACTTATTTCACTTAGCATTATGAACTCCGTAAGTATCCATTTTCTTTCTTTCTTTTTCTTTTTTCTTTTTTTTTGCGTTACCCGGGATTGAACTCTACCAGGGACCCTGCACTTGCCAGGCAAATGCTTATCCTATTGAACTACCTCCCGGCCCCTCAAATATCCATTTTCTTACAGTGAATCAAGTTTATCCTTTATGGCAGAGTAATACTCCATTGTATATAAATGTTTCTTTATCCATTCATCTGTGGATGCACATATGTCTCACTTCCAACGTATAGTTATTATGAGTTGTGCTGCTATAAATATGGGTATGGGTCTGTCTAATATATCTTTAAATCTTTTGGGAAGATACCTGGGTGATTAGCTGGGTCACAAGAAATAAAACATTGCCTCTCTGTTGGACATAAAAGTTTTATCTTTTATTGAAAAATAAGTTGTTTGTATAATGCTTTATTACTTAAAAAATGACTTCATATCCACCCCATAAGTGAACTAGAAAATACTTTGGTAAAAATAGAGATTATTCTTCCCAAGTGCTGTGATTATCTCTTACCATGTAACTAGCCACCGTAAAGCATAGTGGTTTTTTTAAAGTTGTTTTTTTTTTTTAATTTTATTTATGTGTGTGTGTGTGTGTGTGTGTGTGGCCAGCTCAGCCCACCAGGGGGCGGGCTGGCTGGCATGTGGTGCTGGGGGATTGAACCACGGTCCCTGTGCTTTGCTAAACTTGTTCTAAGTAGGTGCTTTAGACCACTGAGCCATCTCACCAGCCCAGCATAGTGGTTTTAAGAGTCTATTATTTTTATTAGGATTTTGTTGATTGACCTCAGTTGGAGATATCTTGAGGGATACATGGCAGCTGGAGGGGGTTAGATGCCCACACACAATTTACATGGGGCTGTCTGGCTGGCTTTCTGGCTCTCTCTGGCTCTGTCTCTCTTTCTCCTCTCTTTGCACGCTCTCCTTTTTCTTGTGCTGGGAACTGAACTGAGGACCTAATACGCTGAACTACACCCCTACTTTAACTTGTATATTTTATTGACTAGAATAGCCCCAGGGACTCCCAGATTCAAGGAGATGAGAGACAAGGTCACTGAAGAAATGTAGTAGGAAATACTGTTGCAGCCATCTGAAAAATTCACTCTGCTTCAACAAGAAAACAAAATCTGAGAAGTTGTTTCAAAAACATCTGGGCACAGTGATGCATATCTTTAATTCCAGCTACTTAGGAAGCTGAGGAAGGAAGATCACAAATTTAAGGCCAGACTGGGAAATTTAGTAAAAACTTATCTCAAAAAAAATAAAGTTTTGATGCCCAGTCCCACATGCCACTCGCCAGCGCCATCCCTACCTCTAGGGCATGCTGAGCCAGCAAAAGGAGTCAAAGCTTGGTGGTGCACCCCTGTGATCCCAGCACTGGGGAGGATGAAAATAGGAGGATCACTATGAATCTGAGCTGTGTAGTGAGACCCTGTACCAAACACATTTAAAAAATAAATTTTTAAAAGC